TTAAATATTTGGAGTGCTGGTGACCTATTCTTCCAATTGTGCATTTTGCACGGTGCCATCCTTGGAGTTACTGCAAGCACCATCTTTGTTTATTGGCCGGGACTGCTGAAAGGTGTGCGGAGAGTATCCTCACCAATTGCAACCTTTATCATTTATATCACATTGCAAAGACCCTTTTTTTACTTTGATAACATAGAGTTAATGTATCTTCATCAAGGAGAAAAAAAAATAATCCCACTTTGATTCAATGTTCCTTGACAAAAAAATATGAAAACTTTAAAAGGGATGAATACTTTTATAGGCACTGTATTTATATTTCCTAGCTAGCTTCCATGAGCATAAAACATATTATTCCAAGGATAAGGATTGAACCTGTACTGATTTTGAGATTAAGAATAATAAATAAACCCTTACTGACAAGAGTAAGAATAATTAATCTGTACCCATGAAAGGATATTTGTTTTGTTAATTGTATACCTTTTTTTTATTATTTGTACTTAAAAATGTGTTGTAGTACCTAACTCTTGATAAAAAAAATCAATGCACTTTTTTTTAAGAGGCTAATAGAAAATGTATGTAAATTGTTTGAGACATATATTGTAATTTTGCCTTTTTTATGTTCTTTTTAATTTTCAGAGGATGATATGTTTAGTGGAGACAACACCATAGACATGCTTATTGAAGACCAACTGATAAAACATGAAATTGAGCATCTCAGTACCACAGAAGGTCCATTTCCAGCTAGTAAGCCATCAAACTTAAATTATCTTAAAACCAGATCACCAACAGAGCTGTATGATGTATCTACTACAGGAATAGCTTCAACATTATCTTCTTCAAGCAAGAGTTTGGAAGCCACTTTCACAACACTGGAATTAACAGACCAAGCCACCGAAGTTCAGTACACAACAACAGACCAGGTTACTACTCACCAAATTCCAACAACTATGGAGGCTACAACAATTTCACTGACTACAGAAAGTACTAACAATCCAACAGAACTCATAAAACCTTTTCAGGCATCAACACTTGATATTGTCACAGTGGCACCAGTGAGATCAGAACCCATAAAACCTATCCAGGCATCAACACCTGATATGGGCACAGTGGCACCAGTGAGATCAGAACCCATTTTGACAACATCCAAATCAAGGAAAACTACTATTACAAAGCAGAACACTGTTGATGACAAAGAAGATGAAGATGATCTTGGAAAAGTTATTGGTAAGGATAACATATTTTGGTATTTATAGTGCTTTACATATAACTTTCTAGAATACTTTACAACTAATCTCCTTACTAGCATCTTTTAGGATTAAAGTATCAAGGTTTTTTTTTAAATTCTAGTATGAATCAAGTTATTATTAGTTTGTATTGATTCTATAAAAATGATTTGGGTATTTCAGACCTGCCAGGCTGAAATCTGGTAATGGTACATAAATTCACAATCATGATCAATATGTGAATATGGATGATTGAATATTGGGCAACTTAAATATTGGAAAGACCCAGTCACCCAATAGTCAGTGTATTTGAATGTGATGCCTTATGGCTTCATTGATCCTAGAACGTCCATCTTTAGTTTTCCAAACTACACTATTATTTATTTTAAAAGAAGTTGTCATTTATCTTTTCTCAGCCAAAAATGTAGTTTTTAATTCAGCTGCAATTAGATAGAGAAGGTGGGCAAGACTAAACAGTGCTTGCATGTTATCTTGCGGTGTTGTATAAATTGCTTTTTAAAATTATATGTTCCATAAGTACTGTGGGGATTTGTGGACTTATCATAGAGTGGGGAGGACATGCTCCAGTATGTTTGTAGAGGTATTATCCATGTAATTCATTAGTTGTAATTGTCAGCAGCGTTGGGCTCGATGTTCGAGCCGCACGTGAGTTCGACTCGAACATTGGCAGTTTGACCGCCGAATATCCCGCACAAGGTGCTGTGCCTTGTGAGCCCTGATTGGCTAAAGCCTTGCACTTGACCACAGGTCAGGTGCAAAACTTTGCCCAATCAGGGCACAGAGAACTGTGAAGCCATGATTGGGCACAGTCATGATGACCGTGCCCAATCATGGCTCACCTGTGACAACTGTAAACCGTTGGGCGCAGCTAGCTGTCAATGCTAGCTCTGCCCAAATATTTATATGTTACTGGCATTTGTCAAAATGCCATTCTGCGGCGGGTGTTTATCGAGAGTGAATGGGACGGTGGTCGTCGTTTTTTTAAAAAATTATTTCTATTTATTTTTTATTATTTTATTTTTTATTTCGTCGAGTCGTGGACAATGCTGGACGTCGTGATTGACCCTGGATTATGTCGGTGGATCAATTTTTTGGGGTTCTTTTTAAACAATAAAGGACTTGTCAAAAATCCTTTATTGTGTTTTTTTTTCTTTCAATTATTTTTTTTTTCTCCTAAAGTCTGATTTTTTTATTCCAATGTTATTTAACCCTTTAGTGAATGGGTAGGGGTACCAGTACCCCTTACTCATTTACCGGGGGTGGCGAATCTGGGTGCCACTGTATTAAAGGGTACCCTGTGACTAAGCCCCCTGCCCGCACCCCCACAACCAAAGTCCCAGGGTTTGTGGTGAAGAGGCTCTTGTCCCCATCAGCGACCCTGGAAAAGCACCCTCCAAGTGCCAAGCGCTCGCTCGTTCCCCCCCCCCTTTCCGGCCCTGCCAGGCCTATGCTCAGATCAAGGGTCTGGTATCGAATTTTAGGGGGTACCCAACATTTCCCCCTTAAGGGCCTGGTATGACTTTAACCCCACACACACTTTTTTTTATTTTTTACATGGGGTCCTTCCTAAATATTCCTACCAGACCTTATGGGTCTGGTATGACTTTTGGGGGAACCCCATGCTTTTTTTAAAAAAATGTGGTACCTCCTAACATTTTCTACCAGACCAAAAGGGTCTGGTGTTGTTTGGGAGGGGGAACTGCAAGCTTTAAAAAAAAAAAAAAACTAAAAAAAACATTTCATTTTTATAGGTACCCTGTAAAAGGAGAATTATGAGGTGAGTGCTTTTCACTCACCTCATAGTTCTAGCCGACCTGTGACAATGAGACTGTCACAGGTCGGCTCAGTAGATCGGGAGATACCTTCAATGGCCAATAACTTGCATACAAGCCCTCTTAAAGGAGAAAATTGGTTTTGAAAGTTCTACCCTCATTGACTTGCATTGATTTCGAGTTTGAACTTTTTGGATGCTCTAAAGTTCAAATTTGAACTGAACTCGTATCTGTTCGGCTCATCACTAATTGTCAGCATATTTTAGCAGAGGGAAGAGTGAGGAAACTTTCTTCAGAAGCAAGTAGTGCATTGATAATAGTATATAATGGGAGACATATTGGTAAAAATAATCATAGAAGGCAGGGTGTTGGATCTCTGGAAGAAAATCAAGGAACTTGTCATTCAGAGACAATACTTCTAGAAACAAAGCAACGTTTAAGATCTGCTTCAAGGAGGGCAACATACTAAAAGGAGCAACATGCAGAAATGAGCAATAGCAAAAGTAGTTCAATGTTCCTAAAAGTTAATCGCAAGAGGACTTTAAAATTGCAGATCACAAGATCACGGACAGAGAAAAGAGAATAATTTACACACTGCCCTTACCTCCCACACCACTCACTTGCCAATTGGTATTTGAAGCATCAAGTTAACAAAATGTCCTCCAGTACTTATTGCTTTATAGAGTCCTCAGTCCTAGGTGACCTGTCTCATAAGCCATTTATCTGTAGTGAAAAGTGAATTCCCAAATTTGGCAAATAAACCGTGCCTGAATCAAAATTTGCCTGAATAGAGTATGAGTTTTCCAATCTCCAGATAGTCATACAATTCATGCATTATGCTTTCCTGGATTTAATGTTTGTATGGTTCCCAACAGTTCAGACTAATCTGTATGCAAATATTTACGAGAATCAAAACAAGCTAATCAGTTATTTTTGCTACATTCCCCAATATTAAGGAAAGACTGGATACAAATGTTACAAATTACTTGAAGAAACTGTTGTGATATCATTGGCATTCATCATTGGCTCCTTCGACAAAAGTCGATTGCAAAATCGACTTTTATTGAATGGAGGGTGCCAGCGTAGCACTGGTCGAATCTTGGCTAAGTCAGCAGGTTGTGGAAGACATTCGACCAGGTATGACTAGCTTAATAAGGGTTTTCTCTCACTTTTAAGAGATTTATTCTTACTTCCTGTTGTATCACCAGAACAGAAACTGGCAGAAAATTTCCCCAATGGGACACTGATTGCAAAAGAAAAAAATAGGGGTTTCAACTCTGCTCTATGTAAAATTGTCTTTAGGTACACTTCAGGGGCCATGTGTCTGAATGGTGTTCTTTGCCTTATTGTTATAATAGCTAATGTGTTTAGCCTGTGTAGGTCTCACTCATGCAATCATCTCGTATTGTTTAGCCAGCTGTCTACTGCATTCCCACATTCTTTACAGTTCCTGTTACATCTGTGACTCCTGTAATTCAGCGATGATTTCATTGTTTTGATTTTGCTCAAATGTGTGCTTAGGGATTATTTTCCTCAAAGTCTCAATTTAATATACTCACACTAAATCCAAAGAAACTGTGTAGAGAATGCAGGAAGGGAGATCCAAAAGCAGCATCATAAAAGTCGATGTGTACTACAGCTGTGAGATCAGCTTCAAACGCTTATGTGATTATCTCATATTTTTCCACCCCTTGCAAAACATCAGGACGATGCAAAGACACTTTATCCACAATTTCTGGGCCTACAACTCAAAACACCTATGGACGTAATGAAGGAGCCTGGATGAAAGATCCTCTGGCAAAAGATGAGAAAATTTATATAACAAATTACTATTATGGAAACACCTTAGTGGAATTTCGGAATCTGGACAACTTTAAACAAGGTAAAATGGAAAAATTGCACTTATCCATTTGGCAGTTGGATCTCTTGAAAGTATGCCATGTTATGTTAGTTAATGTGCATATCCTGTTTGGTTAGGAAAAAATCCTTTACATGTTAACTATTTGCATTGTAAGGAGTTAAAGTGACATTAAAGGCAAACAATGTTTTCCCTCCCCCCAATGTAAATGTTAGCACTTACCTTAAATGATGTCTCTTTTTCCGATCTTCCTCTTCTTTCCCCATGTTTTCATCTGTCCCTCCAGCGGTGTGACGTCACTCCGATCCAGCGCTGACTGCTCTGTCTCTCCAATCCAGCGGTGTGTGCAGGCGGGTGCACACGTCCATAGACTTACCTTGCGTCTCTGCTCGTCTCCCGGCCGAGAATCGGAACTGCGCATGCGCCCGCCCCAAGATCCTTTGCGGCCGTACGAGCAGTTCCTGATTCTCGGCGCGGGAACGAGCGGCGATAACGAGGTGAGTTTAAAAGGATTTTAAGCGTTTTTTGTTTTTTTTTTTACACTTCTTGCCTATATCTTCTGCATGCTAGCAGTAGATATAGGCAAAAAAACCGGAGGGTTTAGAACCCCTTTAAGCAAATCTCAAGACAGATTTTTTTTTTTTTCTAGTTCTGTCCCAAAGATAACGAGATGGGTTGTGTCAATACACCTAAAGTGAGTGCTAAGAAGAGTATGCATACTGTAACCATGCAGAGAATTCCAGGTTTGACTCTACAAAATTCTGCATTTCATCAATTCAGATATGTAGCACTCTTGGCAAGTTCACCAAAGACCAAATGCTTGTTGTAATAAACCCAAAGGTGCCTACAGACACTTCAATCAGACCTTAGATAAATCGAAACAACAGGGAACAACTCTTATTTATCACAATAGCAGGTTTGCTGGATTTTACATTTTATGCAGCTCCAAGGACAAGTTTTTAAATTGACACATAAACATTAACTGAAGCCTAGCCCCTGTAAAAGAGCTACTGTAGCTCAAATTGCTGAAAAAGTATTGCTGGTTCCGATAGAAACGTGTCTGAACACACAGTGCATCACAGTTTGTTGCGTATGGGGCTGCAATAGCTGCAGACCGGTCAAGGTGCCCACTCTGACCTGTGTCCACCACCAAAAGCACCTACAATAGGCACATGAGCACCAGAACTGGATCACAGAGCAATAGGAGAAGGTGGCCTAGTCTGATGAATCATGTTTTTTTTTACATAATGTGGACGGCCGGGTGTGTGTATATTGCTTACCTGGGGAAGAGATGGCACCAGGATACACTATGGGAAGAAGGCAAGCTGGAGAGGCAGCGAGATGCTTTGGGCAATGTTGTGCTGGAAAACATTGGGTCCTGCCATTCATGTGGATGCTACTTTGACATGTATCACCTACCTAAATATTGTTGCTGATCAAATACACCCAGGGCAGCCATCAGAAATTTTGGGGCCCCTTACACGGCTTTAGGCCGTGCCCCCCCTGCACTGCCGCCACACTGAGCCAGTCGAACTGTTATTATTATACATTTATATAGCTCTGACATGTACCACAGTGCTGTACAGAGAACACTGAGCCAGTCACATCAGTCTCTGTACAGAGGCGCTTACACTCTAATGCACAATGGCGCCAGCTGTAGGGGGACTACAAATCCCAGCAACGCTTTTTTACAGCAATGCAGAACAGTATATGAATTTGACTCTGGGCTCAGTGACCCACTGGACGCAGGGCTTAGTGACCCGCTGGACTCAGGGCTTAGTGAGGCGCTGGCCCAGGGCTTACTGACCCGATGGACTCAGGGCTTAGTGGCGCGCTGGACGCAGGGCTTAGTGACATGCTGCATGCAGGGCTTAGTGACACGCTGGACGCAGGACCCACCTGAGACCCCACACATACCTGAGTGACCCTGCAGAGCCCACCATAGATGCTGCACAGCCCATCTGATACTCTCTATGGTGGGCTCTGCAGGGGTCTCAGGTGGGCTGGTCAGGGCTGCATCTCCCTCCCTCCCAGCTTCTCTTAATTGCTCGGCTGGCCTCCTGTGCCGCCGGACATCACGTCACTTCCTGCCGGTCCGAGATCAGAAGAGCAGCGGCACTGAGGCGCTGCTAGGGCCAGGCCTCCTCTGGCGCTGCGGGAGCCCGGCCACCTCCATGCCTGTCACCGTCGGCCGATACTCGTGTAAGGGTCTTGGACGGGCTCCCTAGGCTGCCCGGGTCCCTTACATGAGTATTGGCCGTACCCCCTTGATGGTTTCCCTGCTTAGAGAAGATGACTCAGTCTCTGTAGAAAAGTTTCAGAACTAAAACCTTGGATCCTCTAATATGCAATGTGGCCAGGTAGGTCTTGCTTTGAACTGCCTCCTGCCTACATCCCTTCCTATTGGCCAGTGGCCACCAAATCCCCTCAGGGGTGGGCCAATGCATGACTATAACAGCTCTGGTCACTATTTCCATAGTAGAGCGTCCTGGATTTGGTAGACCCTTGTGGCTCTGGAAGTATTCAGCAGGAGAAGACTTGGGAACCTTTATCGTCCAGTAAGTCGGGCCCACAGATACATTTTAAATGATTTGGGTTTTTTTAGATGTACTTAGGAAAGTGTTCATCAGTGATTTCTGACTTTAAAATGTACTTTCAAAAAAAGCAAACCCTGCAACGTGCTTAGTGGTGCTATAAAGAACTCTGTCACAATGCACGTAAGCGACTCACCCTCCATGTGGCTCAGATTTTATCTCAGCAGTTGGCTGATCATGGAGGCTACTAAATTTGGGATCTTTACCCACTTCCTCTGAGCCCAATTTGTAAAGGAGAGACCATATCTGTGATGTCATCACGCCAGCCTCGGCTCAGAGTACTACCGCACTGAATGGTGCCCACATTTCAATACATGAGCTCCATTGAGTGCAAGGGTAAGGACCACCCACCGTCAGGGGTGAGGAAGGACCCATGACTGTGCCCTCAGGAGGGCAGAGCATGCAGAGTTCTGCCCTGATATTATTAGAACCAATCTGCCATGATGTATCGGCCGATTTGTTTTGGCATGCTTAGGAAGTAAAAGGCAGCTGGCCTGACTGGAACCTTTCTTTGCACATGGGAATGTTTAGATGTAGGTCACAGCCTGTGGAATGTGACTCCTCTCTATGTGCTGTGTGTGCAGGGATCGCCATGTGACCGCTCTGCTGGAACACAACTCACAGCTCCGGTCGTGTTTACATATCAGAAGTCTTGACGTAAGGGGGCGGGGCCTCATGGTTCATATCTGGAAATCGCCAGCGTGGGGCGTGTTTAGCATCTTGTGAGAGGAGTCTAGGGTGTTCTCCCGCACGGTTGGTATGTGCTGTAGTTGGGGTGACGTGGTGATGTTATTCGGGGCGGGGTTGTGCAGCGAGCGTCTTGTGCAGTCAGAGCAGAGATTGGTCATGTGTGCATCGGGAGCGGGCGGGGCTGTTTTGGCTGTGCTCTGAACCCGTTGAAACAGACACGCGGCACTCCCCACCCGTCCCCTCCCGATACACACAAGACCAATCACCGCTCTGGCTGCACAAGCCGCTCGCTGCACAACCCCCGGGACCGTTCAATGAGCTGCTCGCTCCGCCCAGTGCCGCGCCCGGGCCGATGAATACTAGCGACTTGTTCAGCAGCTACAGGAAGGCGAAATCTACCGAGTGCGGTTCACGGGGGACCGGCCCATACTCATGTAAGGGTCCTGGGCAAGCCTTACATGAGTATCGGCCGTACCCCCCCTGATGGCAGCCCTGAATACACCCATTCATGGAAACTGTATTCCCTGATGGCAGTGGCCTCTTTCAGCAGGATAATGCGCCCTGCCACACTGCAACAATGTTTTATTTTTGCAGTGTGGTCAAATGGTGTGAGGAACAAGTTCAAGATGTTGATTTGGCCTCCAAATTCTCCAGATCTCAATTCAATCAAGCATCTGTGGGATGTGTTGGAAAAACAATTTTGAGCAATGGATGCCTCGCAACTTATAGGACTTAAAGGCTCTGCTACTGACAGCTTGGTGCCAGATACCACAGCATACCTTCAGAGGTCTAGTGGAGTCCATGCCTCAATGGGTCAGGGTTGTTTTGGTGGCAAACGGGGGACCTATTCAATATTAGGTGGGAGGTCATAATGTTATGGCTGATCGGTGTAAAAGAGCACAACATCTGGTGATGCTATTTTGAATACAATCCTGAGATGTCCAGAAGGTCCAGATCCTTAGCGTTTATGGGTGTATATATATATGACATACTTCCACCACAGCAGCCAGAGAACACCTTTTTGGAATATATAGACTTTTTCTGAGCTAGTATAGTGGCAAGAGCCACATCTACACAGTATGACTAGTAATCATATTACTAGTATTTCCTGTAAATGTGTATGGCATGGGCAGCTGTAAAAACACAGCTTTAAACAATACTGTGCTTACAGGCATTAATGCCAGGAAGTATTTCTAAATGGTTTCCAGCTGCTGTAGTGAAGATTGTATTGTCATGATGAATAGCTAGTTTCAGGTGCAAGCAAACGAAAAAACATTCTAGATAGAAAGCAGATTTAATTTAGAAAGGGTTCTAAGTCAGAGGCTTAAAACTGGCATTAAGATATACTCTGTACTTACTAATTTTAGAATATCTTCAGGCAACTATGTGGTATATTCTGTTTGAAAAGGTGGCTGTAAACACAACAAAATATGTTGCTGGGACACTGGTTAAAGAACCAGTATACAGGTGAAACTCGAATAATTAGAATATCGTGCAAAAGTAATTGCAGTAAGTGCTGCAAAAGGGGCCCAAACCAAGTACTGAGTACATATGCATGCTTGTACTTTTCAGAGGTCCGATATTGTTCTATGTACAATCCTTGTTTTATTGATTGCATGTAATAATCTACTTTTTTTGAGGTTGTGGATTTGGGGTTCTTGGGGTTTTCATGAGCTGTAAGCCATAATCATCAAAATTATGACAAATCACGGCTTGAATTATCTTGCTTTGCATGTAATG